TATGCCCCAGCCCACACTCTTTCCCGCCCGTTTGCTATTTGATAAAAAAAAAAAGTACATATATATTATTAATAAAAATAAAAAAAATATATACACACACACCTCCTTGCTGGCGTTTCTAAATAACATAAAAAAATATTAAACGTTAATATAGTTCGTCACTAAAACAGTAATTTTTTTTTTTTTTTTGTCTTGTCAATATGAGTTGTTGTTTGTCATGGGAAGAAAAGAAGAAGCTCAAAACTTTTGATACGTAATACATATAAGTAGTAAATAAAAGATTTTTTTTTTTTTACTCGAACACAATAAATAAAATTTTAGATGTGAAAATTTATTATTATGGTTTTGTTTGTATATATATATTTTTTTTTTAGTAAAATATCACCTGACGTTTATGAAGATCATTTCTATATGCATATTTGATGTCGATCTACATTTTTTTTTTTTTTTATTTTAAAGTGCGGTAGTTTCGCAATATCTTTATTATGATAAAAATAAAATGAAAAAAATAAAAATAAACAAATTACAAAATCAAGAAGAAATTACGAAAATCTCGTTGAAACTAATCTAAGATCAATTAAAAGAAGACTGACCCTGCACTCCCCGAAATCAAACTTAACCTAAGCTAATACTATCACTTTCCAGTATATAGAATTGATGAGGGCGTGGTCACTACTACACCAAAAATTTGACCAATAGGATCCTAAACGAATCATTAAAGCAATGGGATGATTATTAGCAGAAGAAGAGGATGGGTTAGTGTCAATGATAAAACCTGAGTGAACGTAGTTATTAATTTTAGATTGAAGATCGATGTTAGAATTAGTCTCAAAGTCGTGAACAATTGAACAACATTCTTTCCAAACTGTATGAGTTGCTTCAAAAAAAAAGTGTATAAAAGAGAAACAAGCAGCAGAGGTTAAAGAATGGGACAGTAGTTTACTGTGTATGAAATTATATAAAGGGGTGGGAATGATTCCTTTTATAAGAGCAAAAAAAGAGGAGAAGGCATATGAGCATAGCAATCAACAGTTCAGCTGCTCAATTTCACAATCTAATATATTGGTAAGTGTCTTTAGGTATTCTTTCAATTGGTTGATTGGTTGATGATAGACTTCATCTGATAGTTGACTATAGAGCACTCTCATATGTGATAAAAGTCTTCATTAGCAACATTGTATTGAAAGTACAAAAGTATGGATGGATACAACGATGGGTATCTACGTTTGAGGACCTTAAGAGTAGGCATCATTTCTAAGAGTCTTTGGTATTTTATTTTTCTAAAGAAAGAAGCAGTGTATGTTGTAATTAGCGGAGCTATATTATCACGAAAAGCAAATGCTGTCATAGACCAGTTTGTTGGAAAGATTAGAGATTGTTTAGATAAAATATATAATCAAAGTAAGTTGAGAATAGAGGACTCTCAGAAGATATCTTTAATAAACTGATAGATAGGAGTAATGATAGCAGAGCTTTGGTAAGTAAAATATCCTCTCAGAATGTTACTAGTGTTGATCTGAAGGGCTGTTGATTTAGACTTGATTTTGCCAATAAGTCAACTTTATTGTTGAAAATGTTATCTGAGTGAGCTTTCACTTTGATGAGCTTAACAAAAAGGTTGTGTGAATCGATGAGTTCAAATAGACATGACCAATGCATAAAATTATTAATTTTGAGAACAGATCTGATTGAAAAAGTCATTGTAAAAAGAAATCTAAATTTATAAAATTGTGAAATAATAACTGCCAAATCAGTAAAAATGGTAATGCTACAATTTGGTGAAACAGTTAGAAGAGCAGTGAAAACAGCTGCAAATTCAGGAATGGAGGAAGAAGGAAAAATTGAAGCAAAATTAGAGGAAAAGAAAACCATTAGTGAACTTTGATGAGTTTGCAGTCACGCTGAATTCATTCTAATAGAAGGTGAACCAATATCTTTAAAAAATTCATCAGTATAGAATTCTAAAGTAGTTGAGTTTATAAAATAATGACAAAGATTAGTAAGGGTCAAATTATGAAAGGTGAAATAAATTTATCAATCAAATTATTTGTAACAAGGGGAGTAAAAGGCCTTAAAATTATGAAGAGACTAGGATTAGTATAGGATAGAAAGTATGTTACTGCTAATTCATATAAAGCTCTCAAAGAGAGGACGCTATATATGATATTACAAATATTATTCTTGAAAGAAACTGGAATAGCTGAGCAAAAGTGACTTTGTATGTTAAAGAAATATTTATTGTGAAATCCTCTTAAGGTTAATGCTGAGTTTTGGTAGAGTTGACATTATTTACATAGTTTTAAAACTGTGAAATTGCGGGGCCAATAAGTGGAATATAATAAAGGCTAATGAATTTTATATCTATAGCAAAAGTTATAGTTATATAAAGGCGATGGTGTTAAGATTCTATCAGCATTTAGTTTTAAAGTTTATTCTATTAATGGATACCACTTTGAAGTTTAGTCTGATCGAACGACGGGCTGTACTATGTGATAAAAATCTTTATAGATAAACATAAGATTATCTTTATAATTAACGAGTTGTTCAACATAAAGTAAAAAGTAATTTCTAAGAGATTGAGCATGCTTTCTATATTCTGAAGTAATGAGATTAGAGATGGGTTTGCTACTACTAGTAATAATATTTTGAATGAAAACAGGAACAACTAGTTTGATTTGAAGTTTATTAAGAGCACTAAGGAGTGAAGAGAGCTAGTCATATGATGCTGATAGAGTTTTGAAAGGCTAATAGGACAAAGAATTGTTGAAGAGCCATACTCAATTTTGTAATTGGAATGAACGTATATAAAAGGTTTTGCCCAAGATATTGATTTTATTGGTCATTTGAAGTAAAGTAGTGCTAAAATTTTGTAACAGACATTGGAATAAGGGTGTCAAGTTGTAAAAGTAATTTGAATAAAAAAATCTGATAGTATATATTTAGAAAGTTTTAATTTTTAAATAGCAAATGCTATATATATGATAACAATTTTTTTACATTGTGATTTTGATGGTAATATTAGTTGGGACCTGTACTCAATTTGAGGTAGAATAATAGTATTGAAAATATAAATAAGTTGTGAATCTATAAGCCTAATATTTTCATGATAATAGTAGCTTTTTTTATTTTATCATGAGATTGGGTATTAACAAACTTCCTGTTTAGTAGAAGTGAAATTCAAACACCTAGATAGTGAACACTTTTCCTAGGGCTGTAAGATGTAATAGTCTAAAGATCATCATTATACTAAATATTGAAAGGTGTTGTTTGGAAGATATTTACTAATAGTTCAGACTTGATCCAGTTAATTTGAATATCATTAAGAGCGAAAAAACTGTTGGCGATCCTAATGATATTTGTTAAATCATCTTTAGAGTTAGCAATCTATAGAGTATCATCTATAAATGCAAGCGCAGAAATTCGTTATTTGACAATCATTGTATTGTTAACTCAGATATCTGATTTCCATTGAACAGTCATGCTATATTTGTATTGAGATTTGTTGATTCTGCATAGAAATAGATTGTAATAAATATATCACAGCAAAGATAAAATTACTTCATCTTGATCAATTTTTGAGAAGATCAAAAAAGTATATGTATTGTCATATGCTATAAAAACTTGATTGAATCTGAGAAGAAAAATTCGTATGATTATACAAATAAATAAGAAAAAAAGTCTTAGTCTTTTAAAGCTTTTACTAACATGAAAATATTTACTCAGTTATATGCCTTAGATATGTCTTATAAAAGAACCTAAAGCTCAGATTTATTGTGAATAGAATCATGTATAATATTATCAATTATATATGAGCGGACTCACAACAAAAGGTGAGGCTCGGACAGTCATATAATTTTTAAGATTTTATGATAATCATATACTTATCGATCTTGTCTTTATAGGATAATCTTTTTTTTATAATATACAGGAAGGTGACATAAATATTGCATATTTTTTTCGCGAGACTTTAATCAGTTAATTTTAGAATATAAATAATAAA